AAGGAGGCATCTTGAAGCTGTTCTGTACTCACTCTCAGCAGATGATGTTTCAAAAATCTTCTCAGATTCTTTAACAGCCAAAAATAAAATCCAGAGTTCTTTGCTCATTCAAGATCATCCATCACAATCATCAGCAGTGTATCTCTGTTGTTAAAACAATTTACCATAAAAAAGGTTCTTTTCATCCAGCTGGAGACACGGTCCTGAGCAGTCCAGTCCTTGCTCACTCATATCAGTCCACCTGCAATGTGGCCTTGGTCCGTTGATCTCCTAGTGGGCCTCTGCGACAACGCCAAACTGTTATGGCAATATTTATTTAATAAAGAGAAATACGTGGTCCAAGAATGAAGGTACTCCGTGAGATGATCAGCTGAGTTTTATTGCAACAACAGGAAACACAGAGAACGTGGCCTGTCTCTGTGCCTCTGCTTCTCTCTGTCACTGTCTCTCCACACTACTCACTGTGTCTTGAGAGGCCTCATATATATATTAACAAACACCATTATGTCATCTTAGCAAGATTTGATACAAGGTCAATGGAAAACACAAAGATAAACACAAGTGATATCTAAGAATGACTGTTGTTAGAAAATCTTGTTCTGACTTTAATCATTCTATCTGCAGAAGAACAGCATGTCATGAAAACCTAGGTTAATAAAGTATGTTATGAATTACTGGCTTAAACATAAAAGTATTAGTTCTATTACAGTTTTCATATTTGAGTTTATCTCTCATTTCTGTTATATTGTTAATTCATTTTTACCAAGTTGTTTCATTTATGGTTTTTCCCTCTTTAACTCATTTAAATGTTTCCAAATCTTTGATTTATTTAACCATTCTAGCCTGTGTTCCTTCCTTTATTTTGATCCAAATGTTTCCATTTGCCAGTCCAAGTTGATGCTATTTTTAAAGGATTTTTTAAAAAGGATTTCACAGTTATTGGAGTATTTCTCCTTCATGTGATTGACATCTTTCATCTACTCCTTTCCTAAATTCTCGAACTCAGTCTGAGTTCTTTTTAAATTGTTCTTCTTTGTGAATTTACAGGTTATCCAAAGGTTTATTATACTCTCTGTTGTACTTCTCTTCTCTTTCTTTGGTTTGTTTCTTGTGTTGTTCTTTCAAAACGTGGCTTTCCTCCCGGTGTTCCTCCTTCAAACCTGCAAAATTTGCTGTGTTTTTCTGTCTGACGTCATTAAACTCTTCAGCTTCGTCTCGAGCATCTTTTTCATACTTCTTTTTTATCTCCTGAGCTTTTCTCTCATATTTGTCCTCCAACTCTCTCAGAGTTTCATCTTCATTTAGTTCATCCTTTTCAAATGTCTCCTTCATCTGATCGTACTCCATCTGCAGCTGTTTCAGTTTGGATTCAGCCTCCTTTCCTGTGTTTTCATTCTCATTTTTCCTCCTGTCCCAGTATTCTCTCTGTTCTCTCTGGCTGTTTTCTTGTTGTTTACTCAAACTTTCTTTAAGCTGCTGCAGTAAACTTTTTATCTCCAAATCTGATGCTGAATTTATTTTTTCCTGTATACCACTCAGTTTTTTCTCAAACTCTTGTTCTTCTGCAGCTTCCTGTTTCTTCTTCTTCTGATCTTCTTCTTCT